TTGCTCATTGTTATCAACTCCATTCAAAAGACGGATCAGATGGTGACGCCGAACAAGTACACGAGGGGATGTTTGTCGAGAGTAGTTTTAATAATAGAATAATAACAAGTCAAAATTTGCATTTTGCGCATCAGTTAACCACATTGAACAGCAAAACTGAGAAACACAAATCTGTATATCAACTAAACGTGATAAATAGGAGCGACTTATGCCACAGAGCAAGCTAGCTACCAATGAGGCTAGACTGGGTGGTTCACTATTGCAGCTACTGCGTGGGTGATCGAGTACACTAGTCACAGACGTCCGGCTGGAACTGCGTTAAAGCGCCCTTGTCACATGCACATCATCCGCAAGGGGAGATCCTGCGGTTTACATGACACTGTCATGCACGAAGTTTATTTCAGCCAGTTTATTTCTGTTTCCGCAACATGTAGCATGGCGTACTCATGTGTGCTGTGGCTCAGAACTCCCTGGTTTTGATGCAAATGCCATGAGGATTTACCGGGGAATTTCTACTTCCACCCCACAACGGCGCAAACACCCTGTTTTACCCAATTGTACGTGTGCGGTGTCTCGCAAAATACTGTGCTTTACGCTAGACTTGCGCTCGGCACCGAAATAGGGCTTCCATGAATCGAAGGACTCATATTTCAGTGTTGTCATCCATATTTGGGTGTTGATTACCCCATTTATCTTCCTTATTAACCAAATGGGTATTAAAAGATGCCAAATGAATTATTTTCATTGATGATGAATCACTCACGTCAGTTATCCAACTCGTCCTGAAGGACGTAAACAATCGCTCTGTTCGTGCTGCATACCATCGTAACGCTATATGCCGTTTACTTGGTTCATTATTCATACCTTGGGGGGGGTTATTATTCTATTGTACCCTGTGCAAAATGGGGTCATTAGTGATGAATATGAGAATGTGAAAAATGGAGAACTCTGCCGGAAAAATGGTGGCGAATATGGAATGCAGGAATGCCGAACAATCCAGACGATTAGCAGATAAAGAATGGTGGAATTCCCCCCCGCCGAGGTAATTAAGGATTTGCATAATTTGATAGCGACTGCATGAATGATGCATGGCCGATTGATTCATCGATACATGCGTCCTAATGACGCTCTTATCTCAGCTCTCCAAGGAGGACGTTTATGCATTATGCAACCTTTCTATCACTGTCGACCCCTTGCAGGAGGTGATGTCCAAAAGTGCCCCCCCTACCCCAATGTGTCATCCACACACAAACATGACACGCTCACAGCGGAACGGCACCGCTTTCGGTCTCCCGAAGAAGCGAAACGCCGTCCGCTAGTAACTGATTGACGATAGTCCCTTTTTATCTTGACAGGCTCCGTCTTGGAGCCAGACCAGGAAATATGATATGACAGCTTGTTCCCCCTTACTCCTTTAAGAAGACTGCCTATATGTGTGTGTGTGTGTGCGTGTGTGTGTGTCATCCTGCCTGTGTGCTTGTGTCAATACATTTTAGGAGCTTTATTCGTGCCTTTGCGTGCTCGTTTCACCAGAAAACAAGCATGCAGTCAGTCAGCCTTTAAGTGACAGGTACAAAGTTGATGCTTGTGTTACTACAGAAGCTGAGTTCACAGCAGCACATTCCCCCCCCCCCTCCCCCCACCTGCATTCCCCTTTGTGCGAGTAACTTTAGAAGGCCCGCCGTGAACACCGCCGCAGAACAGATTGTGCCTGGCTTGATTTCCTCCGCTTTTTATTATTCTTCAAGGGTATTCTGTGCCGACAACGGGGTGTTTTTGTTTTGGTGTAAAATGGTTTGCTTCCATTGGAACGGGCTCTGCAAAATCTGACTCCAAGGCTCCCTGGCAAAGCGCGTGCCTTAAATATCTCGCCATTTGATTATATTAAGTCTTTTTCCCACTTGTAGAACAATTCAGCCGTGACACTCGTCAAGCCAGATGCATTTATATAGCCCTGATTTGTTTCAAGATTGGATAAGGACACTATCAGAGCTATTGAATTTAAATACCCCAATCTATGAAAATTGAAATGGTTCATCTTTGTGTTTGCGGTTTTCCAACTAACCTTCTGCTTCATTTAAAAAGGTCAGCATATGCCAGAACGAAGCGCCCGATCGCTGTGAATAATTCGCAATAAGACTTGCGGTCCTTTAAAATCATTTCAAAAAAAGATTTGAATGTTAAAATAATGAACTCTAAAGAGTCATGATTTCAATTGTTATGATCGTCCAAAGGGTTCTATCTTAAAACCACAAGTAGAGAGTGGATACCTGTACCTGCTGTGTTCTCGCATCCAATGTCGTCCATAAATAGTTTGGAGCCTCAAGATCACACATTTCACGGGTTGTACGCATATAACCCCCAGAAAATCCCTTTCGCTGCCTTTCACACACACGCACACACGTACACACGCTTGCCTTCATTCACGGTTTGACTAAATTTAGGTCAGCATTTTCTAAAACACTCCTAAAAGTTTGATAAGTGCACTCTTGGTGGTTGGAGTGAATGTAAAATGGAGAATCGGAGGCTTCCACAGGCGGCTTGCCCCCCCCTTCCCCCTGTCTGGATCTGCAGTCATAAATTCTAAAATGTTGGATTCCGAGATGCGGAATATATTGACACATTTTTATAACATCTGCTTGTACTTTTTGTTGTCATGAATTTTGGTCAAGACCCCCCAGCATCCCACTTCACATTTTTCCCCTTGTGTTGCACAGCCCCGCTCCCCGTTATCAGCATATTATGTAATATTCCACCCTTTATTTGAAATGAAGCGGTTTTCACATTTCATCAGTGCATTATTTTGACACTTGATGCTGGCAAAAACAAAATCCATTCCAATTTGGAGGACCTCATGGTGTTTACTTCAGAGCTTCTCTATGATGCATATCAATTAATATTCATTTTATTTAAAAAAAAAAGTCATTAATTAAATGGTAATTTATTATGAGTGTATGATTTAAAAAAAAAAAAAAAGTGTCACATTCAAGCACCCACTCGTACATGCAGTTACTTGACAGAACGTTCTCCGGAGCATCACTAAATCATTTTCGGGCTTTTGATTTTTCAGAGACCGTGAATCTGGCTGGCCCACATCGCGTCGCTCAACACGCAGCATATTAACACAACCCCATTTCACAGCCTCCATAATCCTCTCCACAGTAACAAATATCTCAAAGGTTGACAGCCTACCAGAGTCGCTGCCATTTTTCCTCCAGCCGCCCCCCCCAACTCAATTTTTCTTACGCACACACATAAACTCACATTTATATTTCTCGCAAATATCGCAATTCTGTCCATCCACACCTCAACCCCCTTCCCCCAAGCTCCCTTCTTTCTCACTCTGTCTTTCTTCTCTTTCCCTCTCTCACTCATATTTTCCCTGACATTAACAGCCAGAGCCCATCTGGAAATTCATCACACAGAGGAAAGCTGAGGGAATGAAACCCACGGCTGTGATTTATGAGTTATTGCGATCGCCACGTTCTCCGGGATGTATCGGAGACCAGGAGGGGGTGCGTGGAGGGTAGTGGGGTGGGGAGGGGGGGTCACGTCTGTGTTAATTAAAATTTGGTGGCGGATTAAAAGCGGTCAATGGTGCCCTCTGATCCACTGTTTCAGAAAGAAAGTGTAATTATGAAAGGATAACGGGTGTGAGGCGGGGTTTTGCCGCCACGGTTACCCCAGTGTTGTGACATGATCACACGGTCATGCGTGTTGGCGCACCATGCACTGGCTTGTGTATACATATATATATATATATATATATATATATATATATATAATACACACACGCACCATATTTTCCGGACTATAAATTGCAGTTTGTTTGCATAGTTTGGCCGGGGGTGCGACTTACCATACTGTGGAGCAGAGGTGCCCAATACGTCGATCGCGATCGACCGGTAGCTCGCGATTGACTTGTCCCAAGTCGATCGCGAGGGGTGTGGAGGGGGAAAAAAAATAAAAAAATCCAAAACATTTGTGTCCGTCTGCGTGCTAATATTTGACTTTTTTTTTTGTGTGTGTGTTAGTACACACTGTGCCCTTAGCTTCCTATCAGTCTCACTTTCCCAAAAATTATTTTAAAAAATTAAATTAAATATAAAAGCCAAGCCGGCGGCCCAGTGGGCGAGTGGTTCGCACGTCGACTTCACAGTGCAGAGGTCGTGGGTTCGATCCCGGCTCCGGCCTCCCTGTGTGGAGTTTGCGTGTTCTCCCTGGGCCTGCGTGGGTTTTCTCTGGGTACTCTGTTTCCTCCCGCATTCTAAAAACATGGATGGCAGGCTGATTGAACACTCGAAATTGTCCCTAGGCGTGAGTGCGAGCGCGGATGGATGTTCGTCTGTGTGTACCCTGCGATTGGCTGGCAACCGGTCCAGGGTGTCGACTGTCTGAAGGCGGCTGGGATAGGCTCCAGCACCTCCCGTGACCCTTGTGAGGATAAAGCGGATCGGAAAATGGATGGATGGATGAAAAGAGGTCACATATATAGAAATATATATACACACACGCACACGCGTGTATATTCTGTCGCAAGCGCTTCGCAGTCCTCATTTGAAGCTCTTATTTCTGGGTTCAATGAGTCTGTACAATGAGGAACAAGCAAAACAAAATGTCCACATTTCCGTTCGACTCATCATGGACTTGGCCCCCGCGGCTGTTCGTGAGCGCAAGACTGATGCGTGTGTTCTGCGCGGGGGTTGAGGTGGGCAGAGTTTGTTATTAGAAAAGCGCTCATCCGTGCCTCTAATTAAGATGCATAGCGTCCCCCTGAACGTCGGCGCTGCTAATTATCAAACAATGTAGTGCTCACCAGATATAAGAACTGGCAGCCTCTGTAGTCATGTTACTAACCTATTACCGCTACAATTACCAAGCGTCTGTCATTCTCCTTGTTAGCCATGTTTTTTTTTTTCCTCCCCATTTACTAATGCCCGTCTTTATTTTCTCCCTCCTTTGCATTTCTTTTTTTTTTCTCTCTCTCTCTCTTTCTCCAGGCTATGGCTTTGTTGATTTTGACAGCCCAGCTGCGGCGCAGAAAGCCGTGTCGTCTCTCAAAGCCACCGGGGTGCAGGCGCAAATGGCCAAGGTAGGCTCCCTTTCCACTTTCTCGTGTGTTATCAGTGGCCTTTTGTCACACATGCCGTATATAACGCCTTCTTCCACTTGTTTCACACCACGCACTCAAGACACGTTGCCAGCGACACACCAGCGAGTGGAACTGACTGTGACACTTTAGGAATGGGGGGGGCGGGGGGGGAGATTTTTCTTCGGCTTGAATTTGCACACAACGGGATTGGATTTTTTGTTTGTTTGTTTGTTTGAGAGGTGAATGTGCTTGCTTGCTTTTATTTCCGCAGTCCACCGCCGATGACGGTGTGAGCCCCCGGTGCTTGCATATTTATGCACGGATCTCGTTAAGCGTGGGCTTGACAAGCGGCTAATTATATTGTCTGGGGTGTTGAGCTTTGGTGATGCTCCGACATGGAGGAGAAACAGCGGCGAAGCGTTCGTACTGTTTTCACTTGAGTTGCATTTGTTTATAATGAGCGCACGTGTCATTTTGAACCACGACTCTGTCGTGTGGCAGTGGAACGTTCGAACCGGCCTCAAAACAAAACCGCAGGAACATGGTGACATTTTGTGAAGCAAGCAGGTGATCTGTCAATCGTCATAAGCGATTCATATTTCACAATTTGCATCATCCAAAAAGTATCTTATTGCCTTTTAAGACTGAAGGAAAAATCAACCGAGGCAAACGCGCAGCACGGCCGCCTCTCGTCTTTGAGGAGCCTGCACAAGCTAAATCAAGCTTTTTTTTTTTTTTTTTTGCTTTTTTTTCGGGGCGTCTGAGAGTCCCAATGTCGGTCGCGCTACGGCAATGAATATGGTGATGGCTGTGAGTGATTTTTCTGACTGGAGATGCGGATGTTTTTTTTTTTTTCTTCTTTTTTTAAAAATCTGATCCTGAAATCCTCAGCCACCTCCTTACGGAACTCAAAGACGCGCTGATGAGATGGAGAATGGCGACGGCGCGACGGCAGATGACAGACTTGATGATAACGATGAGGGTGGCAATTATTTTGATCAAATGGGATGAGAGCTGACAGCAGGAGATGATCTTCTCTGCCGAAGCTCAGGTGTGCCATTTCTCAAATGCACCATTTGGCTCTTCCCTTCTCCCCACCGGTGTCCTTCTTCCAATATTTATAAGAGGCCGTTCCTCCCGGAATACTGATAAGATGCCTTTTGCTCTTTACCTGTCTCATTTTAAGAGCGTCATTTGCATCGCTGTCCATATTTTCAGGGTAGAGGTCCTTTGGCCCAACGCAACACTCGTGTCCATTTTAAGAACATGTGTTGTGTTCACACAAACGATCCGTGTTACAGCACTCTGCTTTTATCGCACTTGCGAGAGACATTAAGGCGTAGTTGGCTTTTATAGACTCCGCATCTCTCGAATGCCTCTGCCGGGCTCTCTCTGCCATCATTCGGCAGCCCCTCTTCTTCTCCGCCGCTGTTATTTATTTTATAGTATTTTCTAAAAATATGTTTTGTCAGATGAACAGAAGCTAATTCGTATTCCCTCATTCCTTTAGCTCGTATATATTCGTTGAGTCCAATATATTTACATTAGCAGTTAACATCAGGCCACCGTAGAGCTAGCCTAGCCGCCCTCTTCTGCTAACGATAGCTAGCTAATGTGGCTAATGTCCTTGTACAGAATTACTTTTCATTAAATCACAATATATACACCTTTTTTTCCACATTTCAAATCGCAACAAAAGTAATTGCGGCGGGGCCACTCACAAAAAATAGCACAGCGACCACAGCTCACTTAGCGTCCGTCGCGTCACCCGACGTTCATCGGTCTGTAAGTTCACCATCACTCTTGTTCCTAACCTGATTTCAAATCAGCAGATTTACTCTTGAATCTGAGTTGATTTTCAGAGTTTTTAATCATGCGGTGCGCAGGAGGAGTGATTTGCATTTCAGGGAACAGGCATTCAACAATTGTTGCTGTTCTTGTTTCTGGCAAAGCGGCCGTGATTACTTTTCCCCCCCACATTGACTGCATTCACTACCTACCCTCACTGCGGCTGTGCGAAGCGCACCGTGAAGCTGACTTTAACTCCAAGGCCATTAATCGTACAATTTGACGCCGAACACTTCTCGGACAGCTTGCCACGGCGGCTTTGCGCTTGCCAAATGAAACAAGAATGTTCGCGCCACTTGTACGAGAGATACTCCCAGCGATATCATTTGGATTGAGATGGATATTTCTTGGAAATCAGACACAACAAGGTTTTGAGAGGAGGCGCATTGAGACAGATGAGAGAGCGGAGCAAAAGGAGCAAGAAAACAATAACGGCATAACAACGGTATATGACAACAATAACATAACACCGGTTGAATTTAATCGACTATTTGTGGACTAGGAAGGCAGTGTCATATATCGGCAAAGTACACATATAACAATGATGATAATAATACATTTGATTTGAAAGCTCTTTTCACAGTACTCGGACACTTTATGACACAGGTGTCAAACTCAAGGCCCGGGGGCCCGATCTGGCCCGCCACATCATCTTATGTGGCCCGCGAAAGCAAGTAAAACATGTCAACTTTTACCATGATTGCAAAAATCTGGACCAAAATTTCAACTTCTCATATGTAATAAATAAGAGAGCGATTGTCAGTATTTTCTTGTTACCAAACCCCTCATTACCGTCACTTAAACAATCGTACAATTAACCATTATTCTCGACTTCTTCTCGACTTCTTTAAAAGGAAAACGGTCACTTCAACGTGGCCCGCGACAAAAATGAGTTTGACACCCCACAAACCACGTCTTGCTAAATTGACATTGCGGACACATTTGAAAAGTGACGCGAATCGGGACCAACATAGTTCTCACAAGATCGTCACGAAAAATGTCGTTACATCTTAAAAACTACCCGTGAAAAACCCACGATTTCATTCATGTTGGGCTTCACTTTATCCCGGCAGCGGTTTTGTGAATTTTAGGAGGGAGGATGCGCGGTGTTGTACAAAAAATAAAACAAGAATACACACACATTTTCAAAACTCAGATATGTCAAGAAAAGGTCAAACAAAGCAAGAAATGTGTAACAAAGATTGAAAGATGTAATAAAACATTGTGGAACAGGTAGGAAATGATTAGAAGGATGGGAGGTCAGTACAGTTGTGGAGAGTTGAGGTAGAGAGCGCCGTCATTCGGCAAACCTATTTTGCTAAATTGACATTTCGGACACATTTCAAAAGTGACGCGAATCGGGACCAACGTACTTCTCACAAGATCGTCACAAAAAATGTCTTTCCATCTTAAAAACTACCCGTGAAAAACCTACGATTTAATTCATGTTGGGCTTCACTTTATCCCGGCAGCGGATTTGTGAATTTTAGGAGGGAGGATGCGCGGTGTTGTGTCGGAAGTCGGAGGATAGTTGAGCTAGTTTGTAGCCTACGGACTGTCTAAGTGCTTGTTGCTTCATCGTGCGTTTCAAATTGCTCAATAACCCACTCGTTTCCCATTTTCTCACCTATATTTCTCCTCTGAAAAGTAAAAGCTAAAGAACAAATAAGAGCCACGGGCTTTGAGCTCATTAAGTTTTATATTTGCCGGGGAAAGAATTCCCCCTGCGGGTGGGCCGCAGTCAGTCAGCAGTCTTCGCGTTATCCCCTTTTTAAAGGTGACTTCTCTGATGTTTTCGCCGCATTAAGAGAGTAAGAGCCCATAGTTTGAGTCCTCATTAAGTGAAACCATCGCTGTAATCAATTTCTGCCCCCCCTCTTCCCCTTGCTGCCCAAATTTTATTAAACTGCATCCTTTTTAAAGGTGACTTCTCTGATGTTTTCGCCGCATTAAGAGAGTAAGAGCCCATAGTTTGAGTCGACAGCGGTGTGACCTCTGGCTCGAAGCGCCGTTACAGATGGTTGCTGACAACATTGCTTGCGCGGGGGAGCCCGCTTGCCACCCTCAGGGCACACAGGCCTAATTATGTGGATAATTCGGGGGAATATATTGTCTCGTAAATACGGCCTGGGTAATTGGACAGA